AGGCCAGGGCTCCCGGGGCAGCTGCGCGGCGCGGGGGCGCTCAAAGGCCCTTCGCCGCACGCAGACCGCCCAAGCCCTGCCCGCGCTCGCGGCACTCCTCTCACCCGACGCCGCGTGCTGCGAGGTCGCGGCTCAGGACTGAAGGGGTTGTCTCGGGTCGAGGAGAAGGGACCGGCACTCCCACCGGGGAAGTCAGCCCAGCTCGCGTGGACACCAAGCTTACTGACGGCAAAAGTGGGTCAAATTAGCCCAACTACTCAAAGCCTCAGTGCTCCTTCGGAGAAGACCGTAACAAATCCACTTGTGCAGCTGAGGCCGAGGGCTTCCCGGTGCCGAACAACCATCCTTCAGGCCACAGAGCCCTCCTGTGTGAACTTCCATAGCCCAAACCCTCGACAAAGTCAATCCATTTGGCCCATGCAACCCGGCCAGTGCTTAGACAGGAGTATGATGGTGCTGACTTTCCTGAGCTGGTGTTACAACAGCCACTTCTGCTACAAGCGCTAGGTGGGTTCACGCCGCTGGGACTCCAGCATGGGCACAGCATGACCCCCACCTCTGCAGCGTGGACGGCGTTTGCCCTCCTTTGCTACGACTCCCTTCGCTTGGCTTGGAACGAGGCAGTGGAGGACGGGGAGGAAAGGTCCTTTCAATCCTCATGAAACCCAATTTAAGCAGCTACCCTTGAGAGCAGCAAGAACTTAGTCATCTGATAGGGACAATCTTTAACTAAAGGTCAACTGAAATTGTATTGGACACCATGGGATTCATTTCAAATGGTTTGTTAAGAAAGGCTCAGCCTGCCTTGCAAGATGTGCCGTGCAAGAGCGCGTGCTGGGGAAAAAAAATAAAACCCCAATTCCAGAACAACAGATGCGCAAAACGGCACACGCCAAACCAGCAAAACCAAGCAATGCTGGAGAAGAGCTGGCAAGCATCGCTGGATCCCATGGTCCTGGGAGGGATCTGAAATCGCTTCGGGTCTTCAGAGAGGTTGGGATGTGTGCAACGAACTACAGTTCCTCCCCCCACCCGCCACCCGCCACACACTTGTTGTTCTTCTGTCTCTCATCCTAACCCATCTCCTCGTAGGAGAAAGGGCTATAGCAGCCTGTCTCCTTGGCTCGGTCAAAGGCTTTGAGGTATTTACGCAGTGAGGATGACACAAGGCTGAAAGCAGTGGCATGGTTTAGGGGAGGCAGGGAACTAGTCACGCTGTCACGCAGGTCCCCTTGGAGACCTGCTCCAATGGACCTTTACATCCTTACGGCTGTCAAATTATCACCTACCGCTGGCTCGCTCCAGCCAGCAAACGGCATGGATACAGGCCAGTTGTCCAGGGCTGGGAAGCCCCTGACCTTGCCCTCACTGTGATTTTTTTTTTTTAAACGTGGGTCTTGCTACAGGGGTTTGGATGCCCTGGTTGGGGCAATCGCACGTGGCCGAGTCACGTGGCTGAGCCCCGGCGGATCGCGGCTCCAGCAGTCGCGGGGTCAGGAGCACAGCTGGCTCCGGTGGCGCAAGCGGCAGCACCCCCTTGCGGGAGGGGACAGGGTGGGGGCAGCCGAATCTAATGACATTGACGTTTCATTTCTCATTACAGACACAATTAAAAGGAGAGAGGATTATATACGAATGCCAGATCGTGTCACAGCATGCCACCGCGTGCGGAGTTTATCTCTTCCGCTTGGGCAGTTCCGTCAATGAATTGACTTCTTCTGCCATCTAATTTATGACTGCTTTATGTTTGTTTATATAATGTGTTTAAACACCTACTTTACACCCTGCGCACTTGTACTTGCTAATTAGCATTTTCAGCGTTCATGGCATTCGCTGCACGCTCCAGAGAATTAACACACGCGCATGGGGGGGGGGGGGGGC